CATAAATTCTTTTGAGTAGAATCACCAAAGAGATATATTTTGAAATAAATACTCATTAATCAATTTCCTTTCTTCAAGATTTATATCCTTCAATATTGGCTATAAAAGAAGATACAAGCAAGAACAAACACATTAATATACAATACAACTCGCTACAAACCAAGAATGATGAAGCCATTAATCGTTGAGATGTTGCAGATAAATTCCAAGCTTCATGTTCACCAAGAGAAAGAGAGGAACTGGAACCAGTCTTTGTCACCTATGCGTTAAGTTACTCAAATCCATGTAACCATCGAGTTGACAAGATCAACGCGCGGACACTCAAGGTTTTATCGGATTATGAGTCAGTAGATGAAAGTAAGACTCATTTTATTAAAGGTTGCTTCTTGCATCCATAACAATGAGTGGAGGAGAGAAAGAGTATTGTCAACAAGAAGAAGACTTGATACCAATATTCTTCTCAACAACTAGAGCATTCAGAACATTCTGAATGGCCCCGGCTCTTTTTAACTCTGGAAGGAAGAGGTGTAGATAATCCGTAGATAGGCCTGAAAATAGAGAATAGAGAGAAAAGAAGATACTTGTAAACATTAGATGCAAAGCTTAAGCACACAATGTAAGGTTCTTAAAAAAACATAATAGAAGAAGAACGTGTTTTTTAAGAAAGCAAGTAGAAGCAAAGTTATTTCAACAAAAATTAAGTCATTGAAAGCATGCCAAGATATGAAATAAAATTATTTAAGGTCTTCTCATCCAATGCCTTAGTGAAAATTTCAGCTAGTTGATCAGTTGATAGAATGTAGAACAACTCCACTTTTCCCTTTTGAACAATGTCCCTGATGAAGTGATGATGACTGTCATTGTGCTTGGTTTTGGAATGTTGTACTGGATTCTCTATCATCTGAATGGAACTGGTGTTGTCACAACAGATAGGAGTTTTTGAGAAGTTTAGACCATAATCTAATAGTTGATTCTAAATCCATTGAATCAAAGTACAACACCTTCCAGCAGCTATATATTCAGCTTCAGCGGTAGAGCAAGCCACTGATGTCTACTTCTTGCTGTACCAACTCACCAATCTATTTTCTAGCATTTGATCCCCTCCTAAAGTACTCTTGCGATCAATGCCACATCCACCATGATCCGAGTTAGTGTATCCCACCAGCTTGAACTCAGATTCGTGAGGATACCATAATCCAAGATTGGGTGTATGCTTTAATTAATGAAAGATCCTTTTCACAGCGAGAAGATGAGATTCCTTAGGATTGGCTTGATAACGAGCGCAAAATATGGTAGCAAACATAATGTCAAGATGGTTAGAAGTAAAATAGAGTAGTGAACCTATCATTCCTCAGTATAGGGTTGCATTGACATCAGCGCTAGTTGGATCAGCGGCAATAGACGTTGATGAGGACATTGGAGTCTTTGCTGGTTTTCTATCAGAAAAGCCAAACTTCTTTAGCATGTCCGTAATGTATTTAGCTTGACAAACAAAAATTCTATCAGTTAGTTGTTTAACCTGCAAACATAACAAGAAAATTAGTTCACCCATTGTGCTCATCTCAAATTTCTTAACCATGACCTCATCGAACTCAAAACTCAGTTTCTCGTTAGTGGATCCAAAAATGATATCATCGACCTACACTTGAGCAAGAATGATGTGAGATCCTGAATGCTTGATAAACAAGGTGTTGTCAATTTTTCCACGTTTGTATTCACTATCCAGAAGATAACTCGCCAATGTGTCATACCAAGATCTAGGTGTCTGCTCCAAACCGCATACAGCTTTATCAAGACGATCTACATGATTGGGGAATTCTTCAATATCAAACCCTATAGGTTGCTTTAGGAAGAATTCTTCTTGAACATTCCCATATAAGAAGTAGTCTTAACATCCATTTGATAGACTTTGAAGTTCTTGAATGAAGAAAAAGCAAGAAACAAACAAATTGCTTCAAGTCTAGCAACGGGGGAAAGCGTTTCGTCATAGTCTAATACTTCCAGTTAACAAAATATTTGGGCCACAAGTCTTGCTTTGTTTCTAATGACGATCCCATCTTCATCCATCTTGTTTCTGAACACCCACTGAGTGCCAATGATAGTTTTTCCTTGAGGCTTGGGAACAAGAGTCCACACACGATGACGTTCAAATTCATTCAGCTCATCCTGCATAGCCTTGATCCAGTCAGCTTCCTTCATGGCATCAACGACATTCTTTGGTTCAATCATTGAGACAAAATTCACAAACATGCAGAAGTTGTTGACTCTGCAACGAGTGAGAATCCTAGAAGTTACATCTCCAATGATTTGAGATTCAGGATGATCTCGAAGAATTCTTGGATTAGTACATTCATTCGAATTATTTGGAACAAAATCTTCCTGATTAGATGACTAAGCTTCTTCAGAGGCGACAGGCTGATCTTTAAAGTTAGATTGAGAGCTGATAATATGATTAACATTGGGAACAACAGGCTCAGTATCATTTGGTAATAATTCTAAATAAGGATCTGATGGACTGAAGGTAAGTTCATTCAGAATGGATGAAGGATGATCAATTCGATCATGAATGAATGAGTCTTCATCGAATGTAACATGAGCAGTTTCCTCAACAGTTTGTCTTGAAAGATTAAACAACGTGAAAGCCTTGGATACACTAGAGTAACCCAAAAACACTCATTCATCAGCTTTGGCTTTGAAATTAGATCGATGATCTCTTTGATTCAAAATGTAGCAGACACATCCAAACACATGAAAGTAAGAGATGTTCGGTTTCCTTCCCTTAAGTAGCTTATAGGCAGTCTTCTCATGACGTTTAACACTGATGGAGAGGTTTTGGGTATAACATGTTGTGTTAACAGCTTCAACCAAAAAAATACAGAGGAATACCAGCTTCAACGACCATAGTTCTTCCAGCTTCGAGAGTTCTATCTCTTCTTTCAGCAATGTCATTTTGTTGGGGAGTTCTAACAGCTGAGAAGTTTAGAGAGATTCCTGAGATTTAGCAAAAGTCTTCCAGGGAGGAATTTTTAAATTTAGTTCCATGATCACTATGTAATTGCCTGACTTTATGATTATAAAGAACTTCCCATTGATTAAGGAGTGAAATGATTTCATTAGTAACATGACTCTTTTCCTTAAAAAGACTACCCAGGTAAATCTTGAAAATTCATCCACAATAACGAGAGTATACTTCTTCCCATCCCTTGACTTAATTGGGACCAGTCCAAAAAGGTCCATGTGGAGAAGATGAAAATGTTTGATAATAGAGGAATAGGACTTTGGCTTGAAGGAGGACTTGGTTTTCTTTCCCTTTTCACACATTGAGCATAATTTATCTTTGACAAACTACATCTTAGGAATCCCTCTTACAAGTTGGATCCCATAAATCTTTGATATGTTCTTAAAGTTCAAATTAGATAATCTCTTGTGTCACAGCCAATTAAGATGAGACTGAGCACGAGAGAAGAAGCAGCGACGAAGTGAATTGTCAGCAGAGAACATGTCCAAAACATAAATGTCATTTTGTCGATTTGCAGTCAGAACAGTGAAATTCTTTTGATCAACAACATTTCCTTCTCTCTTGTTAAAGTGAACTTCATAGCCAGCATCACACAGTTGGTTGATTGAAATGAGATTGTGCTGAAGACCTTTTACGTAAGAGACATTCTTCTAATTTAGCATGATCAGAAGTTCAGTGTCTAATTTAGGATGTCACGTTGGCAGAAGAATAGGGTAAAGGGGTATATGAGGTCGTAAGGGTAAACGAGTCAAAACTCAGTCTTTAGGGTCCAATTTAGAGTGATCAGATTTTCAATGGCTAAATTGAGTCGATTTTGATACTTCGATGGTGAAATAAGTCAAAACTCCCAGATTTTTTTATTTTAGAACCACCTAAAGAAAACATTTTGTTAACTAGTATCAATGTCTAAACATTTGAGTTTAAATTTATAAGGAAAGCAAGAAAAATATTAAATTATTGAAATTGAAATGTTTTTTTCTTTTTTAAATTTAAAAATAATTTAGATAAATAAACAATAATTTAAGAATTTTTAAATTATAAGAAAAGTTATTCATTCATTATTGCATTTATTGCAATTATTACATTTAAATACTTTGTGGAATTTAATAAAATAGAAAAACAAAACAAAACAAAACAAATAATATCATGAGAAAAATTTTTAATTTAAAATAACCACAAAATAATATGTGCAAAAAAATATTTATTAGAGTAGATATACATTTTAAATGCTTTGATAAATTTGGAAACTAAAAAAAAAAAAATAGAACAACAAATTTTCAATTCCATTTCAACTCCCATCAACCAAACATATAGCAAATGATAGATTTAAGGGGTGTTTGGGATTGTTTTGCTGAACAACAAAAGTGTTTTTTAAGTTTGTCAAAAACAATTTTTAATTATTTATTATCTTTTCAAAAAGCCAATAAATCTATAAATTGTTTTGAAAAGCAAATTTCCCCTTACAATCCTATCGGTCTCAAATTTCTTCTAATTCCAAATCCTCTTTAACAAATTCTAAATTCGACCAAAACAATTTAAACACATGGAATTTACATTATCCCAAAAGTCACGATTGTCATCATCCACATCATATACTCTCATATTAACCTCTTTAACTCTTTAAGGCTAAAATATGTATGGACGTATGTATATATGTATGTGTTAACAAGACATAATGAAGCAGGAGGATTATAAGAAGTGTTACAAATGGCCCAACAATATGTGGGAGAGACAGAAAGTATCCAGCTGATCACATCAAATGATTACCAAAGTGGAAGAGTTGGGATATAAATTCACAAGATACCAATCTATAAAACTGTCGCTACAAGTACGATATAAATTCATGTCTTACAAGAAAAGCTAAACAAAAAGGCAGAAACAAAAGGCAAGAAGCTATAAACAACTTTTCAACACAAAGAAATTAAAAAAAAAAAAACAAAATCCTGATTTTCTTCTACAGAGAAGTACATATATCTATATCTCAGAATCTATAAAGAACCTTTCAACTCTATTTGCCAGTTTTTTTTTTTCAATAGGAACACCAAAAAGATTTAACAATTGTTATGCTTTACGGAATAAATTATAGCCTTCTTCTCTTCTCTTCCATTTGCCACTCTAAATTTGTATAACATTTGTAAGTGTGTAATAGTTATATTACAGACATGTCTAGAAGACAGAGATTACTCATATATCCGTTTCTTCTTCAAGATAGTTGGAAGTATGGAGATGAAGCCAATCAAGAAAAGCACTGATAATGTCTTGAAATCATACAGATCTTTAACCGAATGCAGATCACCAAGTGCTAGCCCAGCCTGCAAAATTTCACAATTTCAAACACCAACACAACCTTTCATACAATTATCAATCACAAATTTCATACTAAATACAAAACTCAAACTTGGTTACAATTTGAGTTATATACCCAAAGTATAGAAATGAAAGTACATTGCTATTTGAAATGACTTACTCTGACAGTAACATAGGCAGCTGGGACAAGGCCAACAACTGTAGCCAAAAAGAATACATGATATGGTACATCAACAATTGGTGATGCCAAATTAATAAAAAGATTTGGCAAAGTTGGAGTTATCCTCAAAAACAGCATGTAATTCAGCAATTTGTCTCTTCGCTTTGCTACCTGAGATTAAGAATAGAAACTGAGAAGTTAGAATACAGAAAAAAGCACTTGCCACTTGGACAGTAATTTTTATATTTTTACCTCTGTCTGAAACAATTTTAACTTTCCTGGCCAGAGCCAGTAAACTATGGGCCTTCCAATTAGCTTTGACAGGAAAAAGCAGGATGAAGCACCAGCAGTGGAATTAAACACAACCAAGAAGATGCCTTTAATAACACCAAAAAGGGCTCCAGCAAGCAATGACATGAAAATTGTCCCTGGAATCATAAATGTCTGCATGAATATGTAAGTGGAGCAGTAACCTACGATGAACTTTGTTGGATTAATGCTTGCATATGCCCCAAGGTGATCTCTGAAAACAAAAAAACATACAAACATTTTATTCAAGCCAATGAGGTTACCATTACAATGGATGAAGAAAAGATACAATACCATAAACAGAGATTTGGTGTGTAAGGGACTTTGAAGTAAAAACATTTTCTAGGGTCCTTTGAATATCCTAAAGTGTGTTCTTGATCTTGCCTCTATGTGGGAAATGGGACGCAAATCAGACATTTCACCAATGGTGCAAAAACCTGTCATTGTGTATCTATTTGTGCTCTTGTGTTTATGTGCAAATTAAAAATTCCATATTTTGTAGATGTTCATACACTATCTCTTTGGCTATGGCCAAAACTATCTTCTTTTTTATGTTCTCATGTGTTAACCTTGAATATTATATGTTATACATTAAGGCAGATCACTACATGAGAAGTACATCAGTTTAGTATCACCATTTTGAAGGATATATAGACATTGACTAGACCCACCACCAAAAGAATTCATATGGCTTACCACTCACATAATTACCAACTTACAGAAAGAAGAAAACCATAAGAAATCCTAGTACAGGTATAATTCCAAGCAACTACATTCAGATCAGCAATAGTTAAGATTGTAATAAAGCATAAAAGTAAGAATTTGGGTACGTACTTCAAGATTCGCAGATCCGATATGGATCTAGGCAGCTTAAGTTTACCATCAGCAGCTGGCATTGTCTGATAAATGAAGAACAAACCGATCGAAAAAACCAAGAAAACGCCCAAAGCCATCGAGAATTCCCATCTAGTCAGAGGGAACGTCCTTTCCAATTTAGAACCTACATGCTTCTTACTAGTAGGGGAATCTTCCCCCATCTCTACATCCCTCATCAACCTTTCGGACTCCGCCACCAGAATCCTCGGCGCTGCCATCAACAAGACAACCGGTTCGAAGCGAATAAGGAGATGATGAAGACACCGCAAAACCCTCAATCTTCATTGTAAGATAATGAAGACGAATTAGTTGATGCCATCAAAGGTGCAATGTTTGTTTATATTTATAGTATATTACATTGATCTGATTAACCCTAGATTCACGACACTTGAAATTGATTCCCCTTAATTGAAGGATCGGAAATTGGAGAAAGAGGGAAGAATTGTTGAAATGGATAGGTAGTCAACTACCTGAACCCTAGGAAGGGAGTTTTGTCGAAATTGAACAGAGATTGACAGGATTCTGAATCGTGAGAGATTTTAGTGGCCAACGGTAGCCATAATAAGAGCAACTCACCATATGTTACAAAAGAAAAGTCATCAGTGACATTTTATTTTAGGCAAAACTGCAAAAGTGGTCCCTTTAGTACGTGATTTTTTCCCAAATTTGATCCAAATCATAATTTTTTTGGATTGATGGTCCTTTTGACCATGTTTGTATATGGTTTTAATCCTTCGAAAAATTGTCCTTCTGATATATTTTTTATGTTTTTGTCTATTGCATTGTTGTTTATCTATTACTCAAATAATAATACGACTAATATAGTTCAATACATATCGATGGAAGGCAAACGGACAACAAGCTGCGTTGCTAGCCCTTTCTGGATGACAAAACTAGTTCTTTTGAAAACAACATTTGTGGATCTAGGAGATATGACATTAGAATGCATGACCCGTTGGACTCTGTTGAGGATGTAACGACCCAAATTTTCAAAAGAAAATTTTCATTTTTAAATAGTAAAAACATTTTCAATAAACCACAAATCTCAAGAACAATTGTTTTTAAATTCCTAACATCAACAATTTTATTTCAAATATCAGAATGTCCCATCAAATTAAATGCCGGAGAGTGCATGTCGCGTCATCAAGCCTTGCCTTTGCCCTTAGGCTCAGAAGTACCTGAAACAAATCAACAAACTGTAAGTTAATACTTAGTGAATTCCCCAGAGCATACCCCACACACTCCACATAATCACATAATCCATATTAGCTATAAAAGCTACATAATCCATGCATACAACATATAGGGATGTCGTGGGCTTCCCCCATGGTCTTACTCCAGGATGCCATGGGCTCCCCACATGGTCTTACACCTAACGCCTTATTCCCCAGTTTTTTTGTAAATTCATAAAAGGAAAAGGAAGGAAAATTTTGACCGAAAGAAAGGGAGGGGAAGGAAAATATCCGTTATACCGTGTTCCCGAGTTCGAAGGAAATGAAAACAAATGAAAGGAAAATTTTAAGTTTTTGTGTTCCCGAGTTAGGAGGAAAAAGAAAATAAAACATGAAATTTTCCTTCCCCTAACTTTCTTCCCAAATCCGCCCAATTTGGGAGGAAAATTTGGAAGGAAAATATGACTCCAAAATCCTTCCCCTCCCCTCACTTTCCTTCCATTAATGAAACTCGGAAACACGATTTTCCTTCGACACCCCTCATTTTCCCTCTGTATCCTCCCATTTCCCTCCTTAAGTAGAACTCGGGAACAAGGCGTAAGTGTCATGGGCTCTCCCATGGTCTTTAATAGGAAAGTCATGGGCTTTCTACATGGTCTTACATCAAAGTGCCATGGGCTCTCCCATGGTCTTTAATGGGAAAGCCATAGGCTCTCCACATGGTCTTACATCCAGGTGTCATGGGCTCTTCCATGGTCTTCCATACAAGCATACCATATATACAACTAACATACCTCCTAGCACATAACCAGCTAACATGCCATATAACACTACTTCAACTAGTGTACTACATATCATAAAATGGGTCGGCCTTGGTGCCTTCGACCCATTGGTATGGTGAGGAGACTCACCTCTCAAGAATGTTGAATTGATAAGATAGGATCAGATAAGTCCCAATGCGCAGCTCCAATTCAACTGCCTATAACCATCATGTGATTAACTTGTCAAAATCCCGAAATACCGTAAATACCCTCAAGGTCAAACTTGGTCAACCCTGGTCAAAGTCCAAGTCAACAGTCAAGGTCAACAGTCCATGTTGACCCCAACTCGTCGAGTGCATCTAGCAACTCATCGAGTTCCTTCAGAGTCCAGAAAACCGGGACAAACCCTAGCCAACTCGCCGAGTTGTCTCATCAACTCGTCGAGTTCACTCAATATCTAGTAGATGGGAAAACCCGATCCAACTCGTCGAGTTTTCCCCTTGTTTGCACATTCGGATGATACGTCGATTACAGGGACTCTAGGGCTTAGATCTAAGGTCTTAAGGTGTCTAGAAGGATAAAGTTTCCAACTTTATCCTCTGGAACCACTCTGAATGCTCTAGAGCCCTTAACAAATGTTGGAAAGCTTAAAAGTTTAGCCATATGGTTCAAGACTCTAGGGATCTTTAATCCCTTCTTTCTAGAAGAGTTTCTAACCCTCAAAACGTTCCAAAGATGGAGACTTTATGGACATGCATGTCCAATGCATGTCTTGAAGTCAAAATGGCTAAAGGGGGGAAATATACCCTAAAATCCATGCATGGCATCCATGCTTGACCAAAAGCCAGATCTAGCCTACCATGGGACCATTTTGCCCTGGAGATTCATAAAGTTGCAAACTTTATGAACCCCATGCATGCAATCAACAAGAAAGATAGTAAATGAAGAGTAAACTCAAGGTCTAGCCATATTCTAAGATAAAAATCGAATCTTGAAGACTTATAATAGTCCACAAGATTGTCAAGCTCAAGAGTGAGGGTTTTGTTTGCTGGATCTTCTCCTTCTTCTCACTATCTTCTTCTTCTTAAGCTCCAAAAGTCACTCTAACTCACAATATGAGAGGAAATGGAGATTAGGGTTTAGCACAGACGTTCTTAGGGTTTGGAGGCTGATGGAAAGTCAACCTCAAGGTTTTAAGGAGATTATATAGGGTGCAAACCCTAAAATTAGGGTTTTTCCTTTACAGTGCCTACTCGTCGATTTGGGCCTTCCAACTTGTCGAGTAGGTCCTAAATCCCACGTCCCTCAATGATCTCTACTCGACGAGTTGGAGCTCTCCAACTCGTCGAGTCCCAGTCTAAAACCCTAAAACTCTGAAAAAGAAATTTGATAGGTTTTATACAAACAATCCTATGTGTGCATGCAACCCTAATTGGATCTATGTTTTCACTATAAGACATACAACTTTATGAACACAAAATAAACCCTAGCATGCTCCTACAATTTTCGAAAATCATATAGAAGAGTAGAAGACATACCTTTGTTGTTATATTGCAATAACAACTAGTTTCCTTGATCTCTTAAACTCTTGAAAGCAAGCACCACAAATGTAGTGCCTCTAATGGCTCACAAACACCAAGAAGCAAGAAGGCAATTAAGAGAGAGGAGGGAGGATACTAATTTTCGGCCCTAGGGTTTCTCTTGGAACAAGTGGCCGAAAATTGAAGCATAGGGTCTCTATTTATACTGTAGGGTGCTAGGGTTTCAGTCTAAACCCTAATGGATAGCTTAGCCACCAAGCAGCCCAAGGAACCTTCTGGAATGAGGCCTTGGACGAAAATATGATGATCCTTCATCATAATTTCGTTCCCCCTTAGTCCATTAGGTTTCCCAGCCCAAAACTCAACTATCACACATTTGACAGTTTATACCCCTTTATTTAATTAATCTCTTTTAGTCACCAAATTAATTTCTAATTAATTTATGACTAATACTAATTAAATAAATACGATTTCTCCTTTAATATATTATTCTTATAATATATTAATAAACCATAATATCCTCTCTCTCATATCAAATTACCTTGTCAAGTTGCTTTGGTGAAGGCAACCCAAAAGGACCATGCATAACCGGGTCAAGTACATACCAAATATAGTTACGGACTTAGACACTAATCCAACAGTCTCCCACTTGGATAAGTCTAGTAACTATATCTCACATATAACTTCAGGATCCGATTAGCAATCGTAGCTTTCAATAGCCGCTGTCAACTCTGATCAATAATCTGTCCTTCAGATAAGGGATCGTATAATCCTCTGTTCTAGATATCATGCTGACAATACTTATTGTCCAACATTTTGTTTCTCGATCTCTGATTTGTTCGACATAGAACTTAGTTGAACACATCAACTTCATCCTGACCGAGCCCGGCACATAAGTCAAACCAAATCATCGAGTGGCCAAGATATCGCTTTTATACTCTTAGAATAAAAGGAACAGAAAACTTCGACTTATATGCTTTTATTATCTACTAGCTAAGTTACACACAATAATACGTTTTATAACATCAAGTTACTGATGCGTTTTCGTATTATCAATATATAATCAACTAGCAAACAATAACCATATCTCTAGGTCTTAAGATTATATGATATTATCATCTTGCGATCACTTGTGATAACTTTCATGAAGTGATATTAGCAAGTGTGGGTTTATTCCAATGCTCAAAACATATTTCATAAGCACTCATAAACTTTGTAGCAAACCTTTGCAATGTCCAAAGCCTTTTAGACAATCTACAAATAAATTTATGACAATCTTCTTTCACATCTACTTCCAACATATGAGCGATTGTGGACTGTTCGAATAATCTTATTATTCAGGAAGTCAAAACATGCAAAAAACGAAACAATAGATAAATAATCAACACAAGATAGCAACTTTCTTATAAATAACACACCTTTATTTAATCATCAAATGTTGAATACAAAATTATCCATTACAAGTTTCCTACCTATCTAATCTAAACTAATATCGTCCTTTAGCCCAACGCTCCTAGCGTGCTGCAAATGCTTGACCCTACTCAGTCCCTTCGTAAGGGGATCTGATGGGTTATCTTCCGACGATACCCTCTTCACAACGAGGAGTCCCTCTTCTACCTGATGTCTAATAAAATGGTATTTCCTGTCGATATGTCGAGATCTGCCATGATCTCTTGGTTCCTTGGTTAAGGCAACCGCTCCTTCATTATCACAGAAATTTTCCATGGGCTCCTTTATGGATGGCACAACTCCAAGGTCTCCAATGAAGTTCTTCAACCATATAGCCTCCTTTGACGCCTCGCTTTCCACAATGTACTCTGATTCGCACGTTGAATCAGCAACGGTCTCTTGCTTGGAACTTTTCCAAGTCACTGCTCCTCCGTTCATGGTAAAGACCCAGCCCGACTGTGATCGGTAATTATCCCGATCCGTCTGGAAGCTAGCGTCACTGTACCCTCGCACCCTTAAGTCATCACTCCCACCGAGGACTAGAAACCATTCCTTGGTTGTGACATCCCCATTTTCACGGCCAGAAAAGACCGATTTTGTTTATGCTTTATAATAATCAGAGTACCTATTTTAATAAAAATGTTGCGGAATTTGTTCCCAGAAAAACATGATAAATACGTTATCAAGGCATTTCCGAAGAAATGTATTTTTATTCATTTTAAAACATTGGGATGTCATCGTCAATACAGAAACATAAGCATAAACAGAACTTACATTCATTTACACTAGTGATCTACATCTCTTTTAAATCTCTCAGTGTAAAGTAACTTCACATCGACACCTGTGATACAAATAAACTGAGTGGGTCAGGTTGGGAAACCTGGTGAGTACATAGGGTTTTCAACCCACAATAAAATAATTATTATGTTTAAACATCAAACAATCAACCCAATTACCCATCCCCATTATCTTCTTTACTCTTAAGGATCTACCCTAAGAATCAATCACTCCTCGTTCATTCATTCCTAAGGATCATCCTAAGGAATCGGCACGAAGTCCATCGTCACCACGGGTTAGGCACTAAGTCTGCATAGTCGCCAGGGTTTATACAACAGGCACTAAGTCCGCATAGTCGCCAGGGTTTTGGCACCAAGTCTGCATGATCGCCAAGGTTTAGGCACCAAGTCTGCATGATCGCCAGGGTTTAGAGTACACTGGGTGAACACATCGTTCACAACACCTACAGGTTGCGAGCCTGCTAGTGTTCAACTGGACTGTCTAGAATAGTTTATGGTTGTCATCCATACTCTGCTGAATGACGGGGCTATCGTTTGGGAAAAAGGATTCTCACATCGTCCACCTCTCACCCTCATCTTATGGTCTATATCACCTCTCAACTCATCATCCAACTCATATTTCATCTACC